CACCAGATACTGGAAGACCTTGGGTGTGGTAACGAACATCCACACAGTGAGCTTTTTGGGGTGGAGATCACTTTGGCCTAAAAACTTATTATTATTCTGGAAATTAATTATCAATTTTCTTGATCATTTATTAGACCTTTTGAAACGCATTTCTGCATGGTTGTATTGGTGTGTATAAACAGTGAGGGTGCTGGGACTCTGAAATCCTCCCATTTAGTGCTTGTCGTCAGTAGTTAAGCAGCTTGATTTATGCCAGCTGTTCTGCTCGGGAGACTATAATTTTAGGCCACGTGATTTCTGGGGGTGTGATTCCTCTCACCCCCACATATCTCAGCTCGAGTGGTGTTACCCACGTCTCTTGTTTGCGTGCCCCATCTGGGGACAACGCCATCGCCTTCATGTTTCTGTTTTGGCGTGCGCAGCGAAGTTCGGTCCGATCTGATGCTCGGCCCGGCCCGGCTGGGCCCGGCAGGAGGAAATACCCTCCTGTGTGGAGCGGTAAGGGAAATCTATTGGTCACGAGATTGGGATCGGGCTGTGCCCATGCAAATGCGATGGAACAGCTACGTGGGAGGAGGTTTGCATGCGGCGTGAGGAGGAATCCTCAGACTGCATGTCAGAGGCTGCAAATGTGAGCCCGAAAAAAAGTAACACTTGATGATGAGGAAGGGGACTTCTCTCTCGGCCGGGCCTTCCTTGTGCCATAGGGTATCGACCCTGTAGGCCTCGTCCCTGTTGGAACGTGTTGATGAAGGCCAGGCGGCAGTGTGGTGTAGAGGTATATGAAATGGGTTCAGAGAGAGGCAGGGAAATAAAGACCAGTTGGTCTGTTGCCCCTATGGAGGGACCACCAGGATGGACTTAAGATCCAATGGAACAATGCCCGCGTGGGTTCAAACCCCACTCCCGGTAATTTGTTATATTTGGGAGTGGTGTAGTTATGAGAAGGAAGGCATGTCATTCAAAGCTGGTTCTGTTGGGGCTGATTATTTGAAGCAGTGTGGCTTCACTATAATGAGGAGGGGTTGTGTAACCTCACTGATTCTGATCCACTGCTGTTGTACCCTTGGGCAAAGTACCTCCCAACTGCCTCAAGAGGTGGCAGGTTAGCATAGTGGTAAGGAGCAGGGCTCATAACCACAAGGTTGCCAGTTCAATTCCCTGTTGGGGCACTGCCATCATACCCTTGGGAAAGGTACTTAACCCATAATTGCCACAGTAAATGTACGGCTGTATGAGCGGATAATATCTAGAACTGTGACCATAATATATAAAACTGACAGTAATGGATGTGTACTTCTACATGTTCCAGGAGTTGTAAGGGCACTCAAGGACCACCACTGTTACACAGGCTAACATCCATGCTGCTGAGGTGAAGTGGAATGGACTTTTTTTTGGCTTTTTTTTACTTTTATGCTTTTATCCTTTTTTTCCCCTTTATGCAACTGTTACGACCCCGTCTAGGGTGGAGTGGTGAACATAAACCTGACGTCCTCCGACCCCTGCCACCTGACCCCCACACACGCACACACTGCATATTTCAAGTCAGCCTTTTTCATTTATTTTCTTTTTCTTTGACGACAAAAAAATAATTCAGGGGTGAGCCAGGCCAAAATAATAAACAAAACACTACTAAATGGAAAAGAGGGAAGCTGACCTACTGTAAAAAAAGAGTAACGAAATGAAATACAGAGCAACTTCCCTAACTCCCTAACCAACGAAAAACAGGGGAAAACAGTCAATAAACAAAAATGGCACCCACCCCCTACGAATGTTCAGGCTGGCAAGAAAAATAACACAAAGCTAACACATAGTAATTATTTACAATATTTGCAATACGGATGCACGCGTCCCCGTCCACACTCCAGCCTGCACTCTCCAACACTGTCAATAGCAGGGGGGGGGGTTTGCAGGAGGAAAAAGTTCCCCCGGTGCCTGCCCAGGTGTCGCTTTTCAAAACTCCCCGCCAATTGCTGCAATCTGACAATCTGAAAGTAAGAGGAGAGAGAGAGAGAGACACACACCCGCACACACGAATACGTCCCAGGACGTAACAGCAACTGTTACCGAATAGCTAATTGTATTTTAGGCTGATTTCACCATGACGACCTATGCACTGAACTGAGACGAATGCAATCCTCCAGTAGACCTGCACGGAGCCAGCGGCTGCTTTTGCACCATAGGTCACACGGTGCATTGCAGTGCAGCGGCTGCACATCGGAGGGTTGACGCTACTCCATTTGAACCATCCAGGCAACTTGCAGGCACCTGACGAGTTGCAGGGTACCTGAAATGGGTGAGAGGAGGAGGCCCCGGCTGACACACCCACCCCCCTACCCCTGGCAGAATGAAACCTGTTTGTTCCTCAGCTGCGGTATCCTGACAATCTTTCGATCCCAGGCCTGTAGGCCTCAGCTCGTGTTCAAAGCAAACGCCATGCCAACTATGTAACTCAGTACCCATGATGCAATTTTTAAGGACAAGGCCTCATTTTAATATCACAGTACCACACCTGAAAGGTGATGTCTCCTCCAGCACAGTGTGCCTATCAATGCACTGGACCATTTGTTTTGTGCTTGCCGCTCCTTTTGACCTACCAACAGCCCTTCTGATAGCAACCTAGTTTTTATCATGGGGTCTCTCATCAAGTACTGACCAGGAAAGGATTACAGGGTAGAATGGTGACTTGTTCAGTCATTGCAACAGACGGAAGAATTCTCAGCCGATGGAATCCCGGATAAGTGAAACAAGAGAGAAAGAATTCCAGCCAATCACAAAAAAGAGGAAAGATTTTTGACAGGGTGGCCATGGAAACTATGGACCGTGCTTTTATTTACCAATGCATCATTTAGCAGCAAATTAAGGGGAAATTACCCATTGGTTTTGTTGTGTTCCTGCGCTAGATGACGATCTCTTGAATGAAAGGATTCTCTGTATCTTGCCCTTAGAAAACTCTATTCAAAAGTTATATATAGTGTGACTACTGTACCCTGGATACATGCATGATAAGTATCTAGCAACCTCATTTATTCAGCGTTCCCCTTTTTAAAATCACAGTTCCTCTTTTTTTTTAATTTCTCGAATGCAAGTTACACATGCGTGAGTTTCTCTTGGGAGAGGCGATAGTTAACATGTTGAGACTCTGCTGTTAGTTCTGCCTCTCGCTCTCTTTCATCTCCCTCTCTTTCTCTTTCTCTTCTTCTCATCACCCTTACTATCTCATCTGTTTCCATCCTTTCATACCCCCACACACACACTTTAATTAAATTAATTTAGGGACATGCAGTGTTCTGTGGTGTCATTCTTAATGCAATCTGCAGGGTATTGGCCAGACAGCAGTGCTGTCTGTCCCTATGTCAGTAAAGTGTGGAGAAATATTTCCATTTTATTAGATTATTTTTTCCTTAAAATTACAGTTATCCCCACAAAGTAGAAAGTGCGTATTTGTCTCTGGATCACCGTTCTTACAGTGAATTCTTATCCTTTCCTTCTCTGGCAGCCATGAGTTTTTATACCGACTCTTATCAGCGGGGCAGGATGTGGTCATAGAATCTGCACTTGGGCAGAGAAAGGTTGTGAGAACATTGTAAGGAGGTTGCAAGGAGGTTGCAGGGAGACTGAGGAGGTTGCCAGCGGGTTTCAAAGAGGCTGTGTGGATGTTGAAGGGGAGGCCGAGGAGATCGCGAGGAGGTTTTGGCGAGGTTCGGGGGAGGTTGCGTGGGGGTTGCAAGGAGGTTGTTAGATGGTTTTGAGGGAGTTGAAAAAAGGTTGTGAGGAGGCTGCAGGGAGGTTGGGCAACGGTTTGGCAGAGGCTGAGACAGTTGTGAGGAGACGGCAAGACGGTTGTGACGGTTGTGAGAATGTTGTGAGAATGTTGTGAGGTGGCCGTGTGACCAACTCGTTGTTGGTCTGCAGCATGAGGAGGATTATCTGTCTTCTGCTAATGAAGATACTAATAGCTGTGGTTTAGGCCCATGTACAGACTGTTTAGATCTATTATGATTCAGCTCGGTGCTAACATGAAGGTTCTCATGAGAGAGAACCGCCAGCCTCACCACACTCATGTACGGGGCTCATGTTATATTCATAAAGCAGCTTCATGTCGGGACCTATTATTGGCCCTTTTTTTTGTTTTTGAAAGTTCATTTTGTGAGCGGTTCATTTGGGAGGGCCGAATCCTGTAAACGACACTGACTTGTTTTTCCCTTCTATAGGAGTGTTTGTAAAAACTTTAGACAACGTTAGAGTCTTAGGCTGACGGGCTCAAAAATCTGCAGCAGTCAGACTTTAACCCTGCAAAGACAACCGCTGAAAAGATTCCTAAGAGTTTCTGCAACTGACTCAGGTCTGCCAAAGGTTAACGTTTAAAGTCATCTTTGTGACCAAATTGAAATTCAGATCAGTAGCTCATACAAGAGTGTAATATTGAATCACTCATGCAGGGTTTACTTCGAAAATCCAAATATCATAAGCATGATTTCAGTCAAAAACCTTTTGTGAATGTCTCAAAAAACAATCCAGGACATTTTAAAGCATTCTTAACAAATGGAGGATCTAAGTTGTTTATCCCCATATGCCTTGTGATAGACTTGTTCCTCATGGTAGCTAATACTATTTTACTCATTACCATTACATTATTGTCATTTAGCAGACACTCTTTTCCAGGGTGACTAGCACAGATTACAATTTTACTTTTACATGTTAAAGTGGATATTTATTGCTGGGTTAAGTATCTTGCCCAAAGGTAGAGCCCCCAGTGGGGAATTGAACCTGTAAGCTTCTGGTTATGAGCCCTGCTCCTTACCACTGTGCTAAACTGACACCCCTTGAGGCAGTTGGGAGTACTTTACCCAAGGGTACAACAGCAGTGGACCAGAATCAGTGAGGTTACACAAACCCTCCTCATTATGGTGAAACCACACTGCCTCAAACAATCAGCCCCAACAGAAACATCTTTTATTGACATGCTCATGACTATACCACTCCAAAACATAATGTAATACCAGGAGTGGGGTTCAAACCCACAAGGGCATCAGTCCGTTAGGTCATAGATCCAATGCCTTCACCATTCAGCCATCCTGGTCTCTCAGTGTAAGCGACAGACTAACTGCTCTTTATTTCTCTGCCTCAGTGTGAAGCCATTTCATATATAACAGCACTGTCCTGCATTGTTTCCAATCTTTTTGCCTTGCTATAGTTTTTATGAAATTAATTAATATTTTTATGAATGGTTTATAATGACCTCATAGACCCCTGGATATATTCTGTTGGGGACTCACTTGTCTTGTGTTCTCATAGTTGCATTTGCACTGCAAGTTGCTGCCACTCTGTGCCGCTGAGAAAGCCCTGGTGTGTGATTGGCTGGTGGGTGGAAGTGGGTGTGTCTAAGGGGAGAGAGGAAGTGGTTTTTTCGGCTGGTGGCACTTCGGTGAGCATGGGCCTCCTCCTGGTTGAGATGAAGACACTTCCATTCTTATTTTCACTTTAGTGCCTGCGGCCTTCGCTTTTAAGACTCTGGCTCTCTGTACGTCTCATTGTCCCATAATCCTCGCCTGTGCCCGATGCCTTCACCTGAAGAGGGACTGTGCGGGTGTGTGTGTGTGTGTGTGTGTGTGTGTGTGTGTACGCCTGACAGTGGGAGCTTTGTGGGTGCAGAAGAGGTTGTGCACACTTGCAGCTCTGTGATACACAGGAAGTTGAGCAAAACGAATTTATGAGTTTGTGCGCGTGTGTGTCTGTGTATGTGCGCGCCCGCGTGGGTGTGTGTCTGTGTATGTGCATTTGGAATTATGCCTGTGTGTATTTGTGTGTGCTAATATGTGTCTATGATTTCACACTGACATGTGTGTGCATGTGTGGGCGTGTGTGTGTGTATTTGTGTGTGCATCTGTGTACATGTGTGTTTTTATATCTGCATATAAGCATGCATTTTCTGTGGCCATGTTTTATGTGTGTGTACAGGGATATAGTATCTGCTCATTGTAGTATATGCATAACAAAAGGTAATTCACAATAGGTATGTTTCTGTATGTGTCTGAAATCGATTTGTCAATGACTGAGGAAAATTATCTACTCATTTTTGTAAATGGGGGATGAAATATGTTAACAAGTGTTTTATTTGTTTTATTTTTGATAGGATTTCCCTGATTGAAAAACACCAATACCTTCACCAAAATCATTTCAGGCTTCTTTGCAGACTTTGCAGGCTAACGAAAGGTGTTTCCACAAAATGATGAATATGCCTATTTTAAAATCTAGGCTTCTCTGTATGAAAGTCTTCATCGTTAACATAACCTGCATTTTACCATTTTAGCTACTATAAGTTTTATATTGCTCTGCTAAAGTTAATGTTAGCTAGCTAACCAAGCTTGGTGGCTGGCAAGCAGAGGCGGCCTTATGCATTTGGGGGCCTCTTTCAGTACTTAATATGGGGCCCTACGCCCATAAAACATAAACATAAAAGAGCAGAAAAAAGTGAGGATTCCAGTTGGTTTATATCAGTTGGGGGCCCCCCTGGAGAGCGGGGCCCATTTCAATTGAAACGGTTGAAACATAGCTAAGGCCGCCACTGCTGGCAAGTTAGCTAGCTCCTAACAGTCTGTGACTGTACACTATGTGTACTAGTAGTTGTTGGAAAGTCAGATGTTCTGGGTTGCGTTTTAGCCTGCTGTGCGTGCCGTTTAGGTAACTCAGTGTGATAGCTAGTGAGAAAGTGCACTTATGTAGTTATGTTAGTAAGCTAATGTGTGTGTGTGTGTGTGTGTGTGTGTGTGTGTGTGTGTGTGTGTGTGTGTGTGTATGTGTTTTCTGTATGTATTTTGTATGTGTGTGAGTATAGGTTTTGTGTGTGTGTGTGTGTGTGAGTGTGTGTGTGTGTGTGTGTGTGTGTGTGTGTGTGTGTGTGTGTGTGTGTGTGTGTGTGTGTGTGTGAGAGTGTGTGTGTGTATATGTATGTGTGTGTATATGTATGTGTATGCGTGTGTGTGTGTGAGAGAGAGCGTGTGTGTGTATGTATGTGTGTGTGTGCGTGCGTGTGTGTGTGTATGTATATGTGTGTGTGTGTGTGTGTGTGTGTGTGCGTGTGTGTGTGTGTATGTGTGTGTGTGTGCGTGTCGTGTGTGTGTGTGTGTGTGTGTGTGTGTATGTGTATGTGTGCGTGTAGCACTCATAGAGTGACCTTTATGAGAAATGCCTGTGTGTAAGCATGCCACCTCGGTCTGAGGGCTGCAGCATCAGGCTGCAAAGCTTGCAGAGAGTGGTGCTTTTCACAGCTCGTCTTGGTTATGGGCTCGAATCGTGAGTGGTGTGGTTGGCTGTGTTAGTCAGGCTCCGTTAGCCCTCCTACGACGAGAGCTACTCTAGTTCCACAGAGCATTGTGGGAATCACCTCACCTTGCACCTGTCTCTCTGTCCTCAAGTTACCTCCCCCTCCCCCACTCGACACAAACCAACAAAAACACAAGGGACTCGGGATGAGTCATTTTACACCTCGCTTGAAATGTCAGTTCACATCACTGGGTGCCAATCTTTCATGACTGGACCCTCCACCCAAGTTATCACGTTCAGGGTGCCATGTGATTTGGTGACCTCAACTGATGTTGTCATATATCTTACAGTGTATTCAATAAGACGGTATAAATGCTTTTCGTGTTTGGCGTGTACACAATCCCTACTCTGCCTGTCTCTCTCTCCTCTGTCGCTTTCGTTCTCTTTTCTCCCTGCTTCTCTCAGCCTGTCTCTCCACTCTCTCTCCCACTGTCCTCTCTCTTTCAACGTCTCTCTTTCTCTCTCTTTCTCTCTCCCTCTTTTTCTGTCCATGGCTACACCACACCCTGCTGTGCGCTTCCTGTAAGCAGACCCGCCGGTTTCCCCGGTGACACGCTGCCCCCAATCCCCCCCCGCCCCACCGGCATGTCGCCGTGGCGATGCAGTGCACGCCTGTGCAGTGCGTGAGCTCGCGTACTTCCCCTCTCCGCGGTGACGGCCCTGCAGCTTGCACTCCCTGCGCTGATGCAGCCAGCGCCAGCGCGCGCCTGTACCTCCGCACTCGCACATGCGTCTATGAGTGTGTGTGTGTGTGTGTCCCTATGTGTGAGAAAGAGAGTATAAGCATCTGTCTGTGTGAATCAGCTATGTATGAAGAAGCTCTTAATGAATTTTGAAATGATGTGCGTACTTATACTATAGATATACACACACACGCACGCACGCACGCACAGCTTTTTATGCCTTTCTAGATCGGCCTAGACTTGTACATACCTTTGCAAGCCTCTTTAGACACAAGTAGACCATTAAATATTACTACATAGCACTACATGCATTTGTGCACCTCAGTGGCTCTTTCTATATCTTTATATTCCTTTTTAACCCTTTATCATGACTCATAGACCTTTATAGATGTTTACATAGCTTTCCAGAGCTTCATCTGCCTTTCATTTGCCTTTGATATTGCTTTACAGACTTCTTTATGCCTTTTCAGGGCTTTCTAGGCCTTTATACACCTTTACATGCTATATAATACTGTGTCAGTGCTGCCACAGCATTTATTATTGCCATGGTTACCTCTGGTGGGAAGGTTTTAACACTGATGGTTCAGCTAAACCCAAAGTCTGAAAAATCATGCCATATCCTCAAACACATGTGTTAAATCCTCAAACTTCCTCTTGCACCTATCGTGGCAACAGAATATGCCGTGTTATGTAATGACTTCTGCTGTCGGATTGTGACGCTCGTGATGTGATTTGATATTGTCTCTGTTGTGCCTGCTCTGAGCCTCTGAGTTGCACTGGGTAAGAGCCTCTGCTAAAAGACTAAACGTAGACGTGACAGCTATCGACGAGGACATCCAAGATAATCCGAGTCAGAATCACTCATGACCCTTCTGAAATATTATACTGGATATTTAAATCATATGAGGTCAGCAATTTGATGTTGGGTTTGCAAAGACAAGCTCACCTCACATACAGACTTACAGTGTAATTCATCAGTAGTGGTAAGAAACAGAGCTTACAATTCAAAGGTCACTATGGTTCAATGTCTTGTTGGGGCACTGCTGTTGTACCTTTGGGCAAGGTACTTATCCCAAAATTGCCTGAGTACGTATCCAGCTATGTAAATGGATAGTTTAAAAATTGTAAGTCACTCTGGATAAGAAACGACTATACTGTAATGCAACGCAGTGTGAAAAAAAGTGAATTGTATGTCAGAGCAGTGTGCCGAGATGGAGCTGATATCCTTTGCCAGAGTCTCCTTCTGATGGACGTGTGCGTCTGTCTGTCTGTCCTACAGTTCCTCTGCCTGAAGAACATCCGGACTTTCCTCTCCACCTGTCAGGACCGTTTCAGGATGAAGAAGAGCGAGCTCTTCGAGGCCTTCGACCTCTTCGACGTGCGGGACTTTGCCAAGGTGAGACCCCGTGACCGCCTGACCCCTGAGGGTGGCAGACGATTTGGCCAGCATCCTCCAGATACCCCCGTTTTTTTCTGGGGCGACTCTCTGGTTCCCTCCTTCACGCAACCTCACAGAGGCTTCGTATCTGCTGAATGGACCAGGCGGTGATTAAGAAAGTCGTCAGTGTGAGACGGCAGTGGTGACGCAATGTCTCATAAACGTCCAAGAAACGTTTCACAATAACGAGCAATATCCTTGCAACTTCCTAACAATGTCCTAACAACTTCTCAGCAACATCCAAGCAACATTTTCGCAACGTCCCGGCAATGTGGGTCTAGACTGGAAATGATGCATTAAGATAATGGATTTTTCTTGCCGTTTCACTGTAAATATTCCCACTGTTTTCCAGGTGTCACTTCAGCACCTTAAACCTTTCTGGGGTCAGGGAGTAATTTTCTAGTTTTCCCTCAATTGCCTCTGGGTTTTTTTTTGTGTATTACACTTTTGTAAACATTGAAATGTTCAGAGCATTGTGTAAGAATACACATATGTGTATCTGCGCCAGAGCTGGATGAATGGCAATGAGAGAGGTCTTTTTTTTCTTTTTTTCAGTTTATTAACCCGATCCACCATTTTCCTGACTAGTGAGCCAAAGGCCTAACTTTCATATCAATCACATCATTTGCTGGGTGA